CAAGGCAAACATTAATCATGATGTCTTTTTTATTTGTGTTGACATTGTTTGTGACATGTACATTCTGATTGTTGAATACACTTATCCAAGTAAAGAAACACGTCTATCTTCTCTCTTTGAAAGCCAGTAGAACACAGAGGGATGATCATGTCTTGTTTCAAATAAAAATATTGTTGAAGGATGGAAATGCAATCCTAATAAAGGATGTATTGTTTTCAAAACCCAGCTGCAGGGGCGCTCCCTGAAAGCATAGAGGAATGTTTAATACCTTGAAATGTAATTATGTTTCAGCCACTCAGACACACCATGACGAAGTTACAGACAGACATTAATGAGAACAACACATTGCGTTGTGTCTTCATGTATGAGTGTGTGTGTGTGTGTGTGTGTGTGTGTGTGTGTGTGTGTGTGTGTGTGTGTGTGTGTGTGTGTGTGTGTGTGTGTTTGCTTCCTGTAGCTTCTGGTTGTTTAATCAGTGTTACCTTTTTATCTTTACACAACTCTGTGCTCTGTGTGTAATGAGGAAGTGACCTTTGGGAAATTGCAATGCTGTCTGGTCGGTTTTTCAGTCGCCACACACAGGCCTGATCTCCTGTAAAAAATAGTAGTGATAAACACAGACTGCTTTTTAAAATGCCATTTTAATATATTGCACTACCACTACATTATAAGCTTTACTTGATTTATTTTAGCTGAATTTGATTTCTGCTGTCATGTTCTGTAGATATAAACACACATTATTATGCATGCATTAATCTTTGTATCGTTTGATAATACAAGCAGTCATACATTTAGAAGAACAATATGTGGCAACCAGAAACAACTGCACTGACTATTCGTGAATCCACTGTAGTCTATCTGTGTGCAGCTATAACACTTCTGATAAACTAAAGCTTAGAAAATATTAAAAGATATGTTATTGTTAAAGGGCTTAATCCTTTTTCAATGTTAAAATTGATGAGTGTGAGTGTGTGTGTGTGTGTGTGTGTGTGTGTGTGTGTGTGTGTGTGTGTGTGTGTGTGTGTGTGTGTGTGGAGGTGTATTGAGGTGTGTAGAGGTGTATTGAGGTGTGTAGAGGTGTATTGAGGTGTGTAGAGGTGTATTGAGGTGTGTAGAGGTGTATTGAGGTGTGTTGAGGTGTATTGAGGTGTGTTGAGGTGTGTTGAGGTGTATTGAGGTGTGTTGAGGTGTGTAGAGGTGTGTTGAGGTGTGTTGAGGTGTGTAGAGGTGTGTAGAGGTGTATTGAGGTGTGTTGAGGTGTGTAGAGGTGTGTTGAGTTGTGTTGAGGTGTGTTGAGGTGTGTAGAGGTGTGTAGAGGTGTATTGAGGTGTGTTGAGGTGTGTAGAGGTGTGTAGAGGTGTGTTGAGGTGTGTAGAGGTGTGTTGAGGTGTGTAGAGGTGTGTTTAGGTGTGTTGAGGTGTGTAGGGGGAGTGAGTCACGTAGTTGAAGGCATATAAATACTGTAGCTAAGTTGTAAATTACCCAGACGATACTGTTATATGTGGCTGAGCTATCTACTACAAATCCTAATAGTTATAGCCTCTCAAATGCAAAAGACATGACTGAATGTGGTTTAAAATTGAAAATCTACAGAGCACTGCATCACTATTCAAACAAGACATGGACTGTGAGCTCTCTATTTAGGCCCTCATTGCACACAATGTGGCTTCTTTCCAGTGTTGGTGTGATTCTGCAAGATATCATGTAAATGTATGGGAATGGTATTTCTTTGATTTTATTGGAAACAAAGGCAGAACGTCACTTTTCGTCAATCTTTGTCAGGCTTAGAATAGAGGTAATGTGATTGGTTCTTGATGGCAGAGCTATAAATTGATTGAAAACTGGAGTCACTTTCAACTTTCGTCTTTTCATTTTGGAAGATTTGTTTAGTTTGGATGGAATTGTTGTTGGTTTTCCTTTTCATTAATTATTTTTGTTGAGTCAAAGTTTTCCATACAGGATGGACTGTCACTTGAAGCAGCCACAATTTTAACCTGTGCCCACTTTGTGGTCAATATCATTCAAGGTATTAAGATAAAATCAAGTCTACCAATACGAGAAATGTTCACCTGTTGTTAAAACCCAAAAAATATATTTGTTTGCTGAAAACAATACAATATAATGATATAATATGGAATAAAAGCTTTAAATGCCAAGCCTTTTAGTTATTGCAGTTAGGTATGGAGATAAAACGCTTGACTGGAGAAAAGAGCTGATCATTGATCTCTTCCTGACCCCAGATAAACTCTAGATTTCGTGTATCAAATTATTTATGGCACCTCAGTACATTTCTAGATGTTCTTGAGTAGACTGTGAAAAAATACACAAACATGTAGCCTCTCTTTAGATCAGGGGTGTCAAACTCAAGGCCCGGGGGCCAAATTCGGCCCGTCACTTCATTTTATGTGGCCCACAAGAGCTTGCAAAGAATATAATATGTTTATTATACGGTTACATGCTGATTTACAGAAGCACGTTGCCCATAAACTGCATGTCCCACAATGCATCTGAAATGTGACATTTTTCTCAGAATTTGAGTGTTTTTCTTCAAAATATGTTTTTTTTCTGAGAATTTGCCTTTTTCTCAGAATCTGACTTTTTTTTCAAAATGTTAATTTTTCTCCAAAATGTCACTTTTTTTTTTTTTTGGGCTTTTTTCCCAGAATTTGGCTTTTCTTTTTAAATCATTTTGTGACTTTCTCACTGAAGAGAATTGCAATTATTGGCCCTAGACTTCTGCTTTCAGACGTAGTTAATTATGAAGTTATTACCCTATCCGAAAATAATCCAATGCAGAGGCAATAATGTAATATAATACATTATTTTATATTAAATACTATGAAATTGAGTTTGACACCCCTGCTTTTGATAGTGTATGCCGGTAAAATAAAAATCTTGGAAGGCACGTTGCTGCTGAAATTAAGGATAATGTACTTGAATCAAAATAATCAAAAAGACTAATATTCCACATTTCAACACAAATTTGGTTGCAGACAACACGTGTTTTGCATTTAACCGCTTTATTTGTTAAGCCCTTTTGATTTTAAAATTAACTACAAAACACTGTTTTCAAATCAAATACTAATTATTAATCTAACCCAATGTTGTATTAAAACAAAAATGCTCTTTCATACAAATGTCAGAGATAAATAATCGATAATAATCATGTTTGTGCTTCTGAAGTGATGTGATGTGTGAGGACAAAGCGGACTAAAATTGAGTTTATTGAGGAGTCAACTCAAATGAGGAAGTGTCTTTAATTACACAAAGCGGTGGTTACATCGATTCTTTGTAACAGCTCACTTCCATTTTAAAAAGTAGTCCAGCCTTTTATAAAGCAACAGCAGCTTTCAACACCTGCACACTTAGAAAAACAGTGAAATCCAAAATGAACTGTCTGCAGACTGTCATTAGAGCCATGTTTGCTCTATTTTATCAATCAGTTTTGAATTCAAGTTCAATCAGAGCTGATGACCATGACAATGACCGAGCAGAATCATTTCATAAGGCCTGTCCGTGAGTGCCAGTGAATCTCTGCGAAGATGATCCATCCATTGGGCTCTGGGGCTTATGTGGATCTGGGTCACCTGAAGTTTCACAGCATTATGTACTGTATGTCATGTCCAACTGTATTCACAGGGAGAATGGTCTAACAGTTTCACTTTGAGAGAAAGTACACATATTCACCTGATAAAATGTGCAATCTGTTGCACTTTAAAGGTCACATGTCATGGCCATTTCCACTGATCATAATTCCATTGTTGAGGTATACTAAAATAGAAAAATACTGTGCAATTTTCCAAACTCACATTGGTTTCGCATGCATCATCTCTGTAAAGTATGTGTATTCAGCAGTATTCACTTTCTCCACTAAACGGCTCACTGCAGCTCCCCCCTCCCGCCCATTTAGTTAAGGGGTACGTGCTTTCGTAAGCACGTACCCGGAAGAATCAAATGGATGATGATGTCATGATGACGTTTCTCCAACGAGGTGTTTTGGGGAGGTAATTTCTGTGTTAGAGTTTTACTCGCTACAGGGTGTACTTTGAGGGTTTTACTCTGCAGACCGTTTACTTGCAGAAAAACCTTCATAACAAACAAGGGGACTTGTAATAAACGGAAAAGCATGACATGGGACCTTTAACAAAGATGCCTTTTTTACGATTGCTTAAAGGTGGGGTAGGTAATTTACTTCAGAAACACTTTTTGTTATAATCCATGGAATGCTCTTAACATCCCGATAGCAATGAATATATTAAATGCTTTGACAATAAATACATACAAAAATGTCATCTGTGAAAGCCGTGGCGCTGTAAAAAGCACGACCAATCAACTGAGCCGGCCGGCTAAAATAACTGGATGGCCTACCTGCCTGTCAGCCTTCCATCTGTGCGCAAACTTATCCCCCTCATTGTTCATGTGCGCGTTTGTGTGTGTTGGAGGAAATTGATGTTATGTTCCTAAATAAAACATACAAAATGTATTCTATGTCTGAAGCAGCCATACAAACACACAAGTAACTCTTGAACAAACTAAGATTGTAAACCAGTTGAGTAAACCATTTTTATGATTTGTTCCAGGTTTAATTGGCACCTTCTAGGAAAACCATCTATGTCATACTTTTGTCACATGCACAAGCGGGCTATCAGATAAAAATGGTCTAACACCAGCATCGCTTCAAAACAAAAGATTTCATGTTCTGAGCCGAACAAATCATCGTGACCCAGATTTTCATAGCTTCATGGGAGCATTTAGTTCTACCTCTGAGCTTCAGAAGCACCGGATTAAAATGTTACTTGAAGTGTCGGTTCACATAATGAATATAATTTAAGGACAAACTAATAATATAATACGTTTTAATAAGGTTTCTTAGTATAGACAACTGTTGCACAAACAAAGAGTGCAGATGTTTTTTTATGCAAGTGCATTTTTTTCTCACAATTCTCTATCAAATCAGCTGTATCAGTGTAACGAAGAAATACCACACAAAACACAAGTTCTTTTTTTCATCTCATATTTTATTCTGAGCATATAGAACATCTGACGTAGAATATTTTAAATAATATGTGTAGGAGGACTTATCAAAGATAATTAATACAATCTATGACAGTGATAGAGGAATGGCTGTTGAGTGTGTATTTGCCGTCTATAGCCAGCCGTTGTGAGTAGTGTTATGCGCAGGCTGAGATGGGATGGCTGAGGCCGCTGAAGTAAGACTTTTCACGATCGCTCATCATCTCGAAGTGCAGCGGCTGCTGGCAGAACGTGCACTCTGCTGAGGAGTGGGGCTTCAGACTCAGGCCCACATCCTTCCATGTGTGCACCAGCTTCTCTGTGGGGGGGAAACAGGAAATAGTGGAGGTCAAGTTAACTTTTGCTACTCAAAGAGAACTGCAGTGAGTCACAAGGTGTATACTGAAAACAAAAAAATATTAACAACTTGAGCTTCTTTAAACACATTTAAGATGATCTGGGAATAAGCACATCTCCGATTCAAAAGTTGTATGTCTAACAGGGTGAATTCACATTTGAGATGTTCTTACCAACAAAGTATTTCATCATCTCAGGGGTGTGGTGAGGAGTCGGGGCGATACGCAGGAGCTCTTCTCCCCTGGCAACAGTGGGATAGTTGATGGCCTGCACGTAGATGTTGTGGCGACTCATCATGAGGTCACACACCTCTGAGTTCTTCTCTGCATCTGACACCTAAAAGTAAGAAAACACATGAATGATTAATGGAGTTTTTGGGAAGTTGCAACGAGGACATCCTTTATTTAATGAAGGGTGTCAGCTTTCACATCATTGGGCAACAAATTCAATAATAAATTACCCGGACAGGGAGGATGTGACTGGGGCAGTGCACCACCGGCAGCCCCGAGTCCATCAGCATCTGTCGGAGCAGCTTGACGTTGCGCTGGTGTTTGCGTCTCAGCGCGCGACCCTCTTCCCCTTTCAGGACCTGGATGGAGGTCCTGGCTCCGTGCAACAGCATCGGCGGCAGAGAGGTGGTGAAGATGAAACCAGCAGCGTAGGAACGCACCGTGTCCACCAGAGCTGCTGTGCTCGCGATGTAGCCGCCCACGCACCCGAATGCCTTTCCTGCAAGAGGACATGACACATAGAGGGTTATTCTTCCGTCACCCTTTGAACACATTCACATTATGCTCAGTGGTTTGTGCCAAATCCTCCCAACTGCAATCCAAAAACTAGATCCCTTTGAAATGGTCCCTGCTGGAGAACAGGGACTGGAGAGCTCTCAGTTAGAAATAATTGTCCCCTTAGGTTGACAGGAACACACAGACACAGAGATAATTCAATAAGAGTGCAGCAAGAGCCCACAGTCTCCTAGCAACAGCAGGGCTGCTCCGGCTTCTTTAAGCCCTCTGGCATATTGGTTGACATGGATGGGGCTTGATCCTGACAACAAAACACAGATTTCCACAAGCTAGGAGCAGCTGTTTTGATTCATAAACATATATAAATGTATCCTGATATATAAAAGGAAAATATAATGATACAACTATACATTCTTGTGAAGTGTGATTACAGGTTCATTTAAAAAGGCTTAGGAACATCTCAGCCTGGCTTCAATGTCAGAAAGCTTGGCAGCACATCATTATCATTTTGTTTAGAGTAGAGATAACATGCTGACCTAGTGTCCCTGAGATGATATCCATCTTGTGCATGACGCCATCCCGGTCTCCGATGCCGCCCCCCCTGGAGCCGTACAGGCCCACAGCGTGCACCTCGTCCACGAAGGTGATGGCTCCAAACTCATGGGACGCATCGCACATCTCCTCCAGCGAACACACAGCACCTGTGTTACAGAAAGATGAGGGTAAGGTAACGTTTAGCCAAAGAACAGGCAGAAAGTTGATCTGTTAATGATTGTCTAACATTTTCATGACAATTAATGAGCAACCAGGTATAAAGCAAGGTTATAAAATGCTGTACAAATAGGTTAAATGGGAGCATCCCAAACTAACCATCCATGGAATGGACGGTCTCAAAGGCAACGATCTTCGGTTTAGTGGGGTCTCCCTTCTGTAGAAGCTCTCGAAGATGGGCGACGTCATTGTGGCGGAAAATGAACTTCTTAGCACCGCTGTTCTTGATACCCTGGATCATTGAGGCGTGGTTGCCCGCATCGGAGTAGATCTCACAACCTAAAATAGTTTTGAAGAAGGGGAAGTGAGAAGGAGACTTACAGCATGCATATCACACAACTATTAATAATCAATTCAAAACAAAAATGAAAGGTAGATTTATTTTAAACGTTTGCATACCAGGTAGCATCTTGGCGAGGGTAAAGAGGGTGGAGTCATTGGCGACAAAGCAGGAGGTGAAGAGCAGCGCAGCGTCCTTATTGTGAAGGTCAGCCAGTTCACTTTCCAGTTCCACGTGGAATTTACTGGTCCCAGAGATGTTCCTGGTGCCTCCTGCCCCGGAACCATGCTTTCGTAAAGTATCCCTAAAAAAAGAGACGGATGTTTAGGTCGGTTTTTAGAAGCTGGACAGCAAAAATTGCACCCATTTGTGTTCCAGATAGAGGCTAAAGGGCGGTAAGACATCATTACATGGAACATTCTGAATAATTAAGCAAGGGAGCTTGAGGTAAGGTGTAACCGTTTCACAGGTAAGAGAGCTGGGCGAGCTCAGACAGGCTGAAAGGAGAAGAAAAACATCCTACCTCTGGGGCTCGCGTGTGAACTATGAACAACTAACACTCTATACCCACACAAACAATGGACTGGAACACTTGTAGGTGTTAGGTTGTATTTAATTATTATGTGAGGTGTCTCATCTGTTTTTTTCCCTTTACAGACTCTCTAAAAGCGCCAACAGGAGACGTGGACAGCCAAGAAAAATATTATTCTCATTACATGTAAACACAGGCAGACCCAAGGGACTGAGTTTTTCCGACACGCACAAACAAACATGTCCTCCAATACTCACGTAATTGATTGCACGACCCGTGGGTGTCGACTCATGCCCAGGTAGTCGTTGCTGCACCAAACGGAAACCTCCTTCTTGTCGTCTAAAGAGCCAGTGAAGTCCTCAGCCATGGGGAAATCGCTGGCCAGACGATTCACGGTCTTGAACACACGGTATGTGTGGTCACTCTTCTTCTCTTCTATCTTCTTCTCGAAAAATTCATCATACTGGTAGCGGGACACTGCGACAGAACAGGAAGGCAAAGCTTGCTTAATGTGCCATGTTGCATTGTGACAGATGAAGCAATGCCTAACGGATAAAAGTCTGAGCACTCAAAACATACTGAATTCAAAATCATTTATAAAACTACATTACGAGAGAGAAATTGTTGCAAGTACGATCCGTCTTTAGACTTACTACTGCCTGCCAAGTTCTCCTGCAGCAAGTGAGAGACACCTTTAGGTCTCTGTTTCAGGAGGGTCTTCATTAGATCCCCACTTCCCTTAATGGTACTGGTCAGGGACGGCTTCTTCAACTGGGCGGCGGACACTTCTGCAAAAAGGTCCAATAAAGGAAATGGTATCAAATAAGGAACAAAAGGATGGGCCCAATCAGTAACATGTAATCAATTTCTACACAACTCTTACCTTTCTGGACCGTGCGGACTTCCTGAACGTCCTCCTGGTACTCCATGCCGACCTGGCGGACCACATTGCTGTTCTTCTGGCCCATCTCAGCCGCAAGGAAGGGGCACTTGGAGGCCGCCTGACCTGATGCTGGCATGGGGTGGCCACTTGGCAGCTTGGGCTCCTGTACCTGTTTGGGGCCTGCGAGCAGACAAAATAAGCTTTAGATGTATGCTAACAACCTTTAAACAATATCACACACAGTATGTCAAAGTAAGTCATTATTTTAGCTGGTATTTCTCACAAAATATATATTTTTTAATGAATCTACTTTTTTGGCACCCTCACCTTCAGTGGCAGACATGGCGTCCTCAGTCCTCTGGTGGGAGGAGGAGGAGCAGAGGGCCCGTGCCATTGATGGAGCCATAGGTTTAGCGGCCAGCTCCATCATGATGGGGCATTTCTGGGCGTACGACACCATAGACTTTTTGGGCTGCTGGAAGAAGGCCTGGGGCACACGAGCCAGGAAGGGGCAGCGACGCACGATCACATCCATGGTCAGCAGTGGTGATGATGATTGTCCAGAGATCTGTGGGAGACAGTTGAAACTTATCAGTGGCTAACAACAACGGGCATGGCTTTGACAAAGGCAAATTGAAACGGCTGTGGACAGTTCAGATCCTTTTTTCTGTGTGCTGCAACAACCTGTTTTACAGAGTTGTTGCTTAAGGCAGTGGTTCCCAACCCTTGGGTTTGCTTCTTCATTCTAAGGGTCAAATACTGCCTCTTCTTCACCTATTTGTTGATTTCTGGGAAGTAAATTAAATAAAGACATTTTGGAAGTTTGAACATAGTATTTGCTGCATTCGAAAATATGCAGTTAAAAGGGCTTATATGACAATTGCCATGTGTCCGCTATAACTATTAAATTATTGAGGGCAATTGAAAATTGTTGGAAGATGTTTGCTTACTTTGATAAACCGATAAAGGTATTAATAAGCTGTCAAAGTCTTAAGAAACATCCAAGTCAGTGGACCTATTGGTTAAAGTGGTTATGTAATGTTTCAAGGTGAGTTATAAACCTTCAAGCTAAAAGTATAGGCTCTCATTACATGAATACCCAACATCTATTTCCACTGAAACCTAAAAATCCTATTCGTTTTTCTATCACTTTACAATAATATGTTATTGACTGGATGAACTGATGAAGTCACTGCAACAGGTGACTGATCAAATTGGGAAAAAAACTCTCATTGCGTAAAAGGGAAAATTCCAGCTGTATTACGTCTATCCCTGTGTCATAAGCCTTCCCCCGGATAAAGTGAGGTCTAAACATTCCTCAACTGAGTTATCGCTCTAACTTCTTTCCCACTTGAAGTTCCAGGAAAAGGAAACGAGCCCTTATAAAACGTATACGTGAAGTCGAACTCATTTCACCAAAAACAAGACTTTAAGCTATTAAGATATCTCGTCTCCGTGATACATTTTTGGGGGAAAAGACGAGTTTCTCCAAAAGCTAAAACCATAGTCCTCACAAGTGTAATTCCGTCAGGTTGCGTAACATGAAACCCGGATCCCTAGCGGTACTGTACAACTGTATTCACAATTTTAAAAAAACACTGGCATTGACACAAGCATCTAGTTTACTTTCTGTTATTAAAGACAAATCACAATGTACGACTTAAGGACACATTTTTACTCAATTAATAATTCGCCCTTTAAAGTGGTGTTCCGTATTGACTCGCATAACATGTCATGGTTGTAACACATTAGGAGAAAAAGAGTCACGACCTGTCTGCCTCCAACGTTGAATAACGCTTTACTTACATAAATGGTTATGGTTAAAGCTTATTTTCGGAAACAAAGCTATTGTAAAATAGACTAAGACTAAGTGCTTACCGGATTGCTTGTGATTTTTGCCGGTTGACCGGGCTTAGCAATGTAGCTAACATTAGCCAAGAAGCTACAACCAGGAGATGAAGATGACCAAAATAAGAGACTTACCTCCTCAAAACTTCACGTTTAATTGCGTAGTCCTCTTCAAATGTCGTTAAGTAAACAGGGTAACAGCAGCGGAGCCAATGTTGTGTTACACTCTAACAAAAATGATTTGTTTTGCAGAGAAGGTGAAGGAGGTGACTGTTTCGTTATCCTGCACTGAGGACGAACGATAGGACGAGGACGTGCAAGTTCTTATAACCAGCTTACGCCATGCCTCATATCGCGTGGAAGTCTCGCGAGATCTCATTCATTTACGTCAAAGGGCCATTCCAGTTTTCTGTTACTCAAGCAAGCATAAAGCAGGGCATTTTCTCTGTGAATGTTTGAAGGTTGTCTCAAAATATACTTCATTTGTTTTGGGTTTTGTTCCAAACATTGCATATAAATCAATGTTTACCCTGTATGGACATTAGTGACATATTCTAAGGACATTCATGCATATGCTTACTTTATTATAATCAGTATCACAATTTATTGTCCAAGTATTTATACACATACACATACATAGAATTTATCTCCATTTGTTTTCTCTCTCTCAGTGTACACAGACATAAACATATAAGGACAAAGGAATAGACAAGACTATTATGAAAATGTCTTTACACAGACAAGTGTATGTAAATACTGTATGTGAATGTATGAGTAGCAAACTGGGCTGCAAACAATTAAACTAGTAGTTTCAGTATGTTTCGCAGTAGCCTGCTGGTATTTTAAAACCATTAAAATTTGTTTGTAATTCAACTAAAATGATTTGCCTAAATCTTTTATTGTAGCATAAATTATCTGCAACCATAGCAAAAGATGTTTCAGTTATTGACCTTGAATTATTCCACACAATGACTCTGGCTTCATTAAGTATTGTTTGCCGAACTTTAACACACAGTATTTCTGAATTGATGTGACATGTTTTCTGACGTGGTTGGGTTGAGGGATTTTGTGTGCACAAGTGACCTCTGGTGTTGAAACCGAGTTATTGAACCTGAGCTTATTCTAAAATGTTGTTTGGTATGATATTGTATATTTGACTTTAAGTTGGGTTGATGAGACACTTGTAAACATATGTTTGCTTGTGTGATTTTTGCCGACAATTAAGGAATTCATATTAATTTTAAGCCTATTTTGTCCCATATATAACAACAATAGAAAACAAACTGATTTTTAAACTCTATACACCCGGTTACAAGTGTATTGGGAAAGCTATAAGTGAACAGCCTTGCAATAATTCCTGGCTTTATGAATGCTCAGTTTTTTATATCATGATGACCAGAGGCATTTACATTACATTACATTGCATTACATGTCAGTTGTTAGAGCTGGAGTTTGTGAGAGAGCTGGCTTGAGAGTCAATTTCTCTTCAAAATATAATTGATTGCCCTCCCTTGTCCCTGGCTGGCTTGCTAGCTCGTTGGTAACGTAACTGATGTCTTCTAATGTGCCTGCATCTGGCGCTGATTTGCCATATTCCTTTCATGAACCACTTCCTGATATCCATTGTTGCAGATAAATATAAATGACAATAGCCAAACTAACCTAGCAAGAGTAAACTGGAAGGCTTTTTTTTCCCCACAGTAATCCATTGATTATATTATTGTCATGTTTACATTACAAAGGAATACATGTGGAAGCAATTCAAATGTTTGTAATGGAACCAATTCAGGATAATTTCTAATGATATAGCCTACTGTGTTATCTAACACTACTGAATTATTTTATAAAAGCAAACCATGTGTTTTTGTATGTAAAGGAGTAATAGTAGCTTAACTTGATTGTTGCATTCATGTAGTGAAGTTAAAATAGAAATGTACCTCTCAAATATATGGAGAAATAGTATAAAGTAGCAAAAGTGAAAATAGTCATGTAAAGTGACTTCAGTAAAAAACCGGAAAACCGCTGTTACCTTGGTTGGTTATTGGCTAATGGTTACACAACCCCAAAAATTGTTATGACATCATAAAGTGGCCAAAATCTGATCAGCTCATATTCAGACAGGTTTTTATGTAAATGGATCAGGGCAAAAAGTGAGCGAATATTTGTTCCTGAAACTTTCAGAATCTTTTTACACAGAGGGGACACATGTTTCTGTATAAAAGACATGACAAGGTGGATTTTGCATAATATCAATCAATCAATCAATCAATGTTTATTTATATAGCCCAATATCACAAATGTTACATTTGTCTCAGTGGACTTCACAGTTTTTACAGAATATCAGTATGACAATACGACACCCTCTGTCCTTAGACCCTCACATCGTACAAGGAAAAACTTCCAGAGAAAACCCACAGTTTAAAGGGAAAATGGGAGAAACCTCAGGGAGAGCAACAGAGGAGGGATCCCTCTCCCAGGACGGACAGACGTGCAATAGATGCCGTGTGTAAATTGAAAAGATAATACATTTGCAACATAGGTAGTCCAAATGTTTGNGTATGTACGTTTCAACCATCCAGTCAACACTTCTTGTAATGTAAATGTGCTTGCTGAGGACCTTCCCCTTCCCTCCTTCTGTAGTGTATAAAGTGTTTGTATTTTCTGTTGTATGTTGGCAGATCTTTTACGAACTTCTTGGTGCAAGACTCTGTCCTTTCAGCTGAAATAGATTAAATCTGTAAAATGCTTTTTGACTTTTATTGACTTTATTAAATAACACAACTTTGCTTTAAACTTCTATTATTTGTTAATTTCTTGCCAACCAGGTTGTTTCTGTTTTTAAAGTGGAATTTCCTCTACAGTTATTGTATCTATGGTAGCAGTGATGTCTTTATTATCTTCCATATTAGTTTAAACATGTGCTGCCTGTACCAACCTTCACTCTAGTAAAAGTGGAGTCAGACTTTGCCCACGCCCACTGCCTGCAGCCACACAATGAACAAGGATGTGTAAAGGTAACAGTCAATGTGACTCCTATCTTCACAAGAGGTGGTGGCGTCAGATCACCGGTAACTTCCCAGTATTTACACCTAGGCAAAGTTCACTGTCTCTTTCCTGCCTCATTTCTTTTGGTGAACAAAAGAGTTAAGTGGAAAAAACAACATAATTTTCGAAAATCCCCCCAAAAGTAAATGGAATTTGCATTATCCCTTTTATGACACTCTTAAATCTAAACTAACCTTTTTGAAAAAGGAGTTCTATTGTAATCGTTGGGACAGTTAGATTCTACTGATCAAAACAATTAGTAAACCAAGAGCAAGTGGCTATTTCAGTCATAAAGTACTAAAACACTGTGCTGTGTGTTTGATAGCTTTCAGTGAGAGAGAGGCTGTTGTTTCAGCCTGTGCGTGAGACCAGAATCTGATAAAGGACTAACATCCACAGAGATTTGGATGATGTCAGCTGCTCCTTTTCCTCCATGCAGGCCAAGCAACACACCATTCTTCTTTTTTTATATAGAAAGAAAGCCGGATAATAAAAAAGTCGCTTCAGTAAAAAATCTGCCACGCAACACAAACACCTTATAGTGGCCCATGACAGCATTGTCATGCGATCATTCTTTGGATTTCATAACTAAATAAAACCTGTTTCTTTAAAGAATCTTGTGAAGTGCAAAGTGTGGTCATTTATGATAAACAGAACTCTCTTTGATAACGTTATGGGTGAGAAGGCAGCACAAGTTCTCCTCAATGCTGCCAACCGTGCCATGCAGGTGAAAGAGTAACAGGTATCCAAAGACACTGAACCTTCACCTTCAAAAACAAGGTTATAGGTTTCAACAGTTAGAGGCTTGTTTTTTTTGCCTATTAACGTGATTCTATTTATCTAAGTGGTAATTACGGACTGAATTTCCTTATTTGTTTGATTTAGGGGTCATTAGTGTTGTGCAATACACAGTGCACTGTCAAATGTTTGAATGTTTCAATGGAAGTCATCACAAAGACTACATTCTTCCTCGCTGCAGCAGGAAGACCACGGTTAAGCCTTTTAACTAACTAACTAAATAATTGACACAGCAATTATGCCATTTATATTTCTACCATTGATGAGCTTCAGTTCCAGGAATGAGACCCCGCTGGAGGCAAAACTCTTATTTTTCAAATGGATTTAAAAAAACAACAAGATTAATCAGAAAATAAAGGATACTACTTGGGCTCAAATAGCTTTAATAACACAGACCAGAAATAAATTAGTGTACCATCAAAGCCAACAATTACATCTAAATGAACACCCAATCAATGGTTTCAAATGAAAAAAGTAGAAGTCAGAATCAAGAATTTTTCATTTTCATACTTTAGCTGAGAAAAGATCAATGGTTTTGTTGTCTGTAGCATCTTGAATAGCACAGAAAGCTACTGATTAACGTCCTGACACACGGTGAGTCAGCACTAGGGGCTGTCATATTTCCAATAATTTCTTCTTGATAACGCACACGTATTTGTGTTTACCACTCATTTTATTTTATTGCGTACTGTAAATTAGCCTTATTAATATTAGAACATGTCAGAGACTGTGTGAAGCACTTACATTAATTCAAACAAGTGTTTTAACCTTGGTTGTCCAGTTCAAAAATATGTATGAAGAAATTCAAATGTGTCATGGTTATCTTTACTTACATACGAGTTGGAGTTTAAAACAAATCAATGTAGTACAAAAAGGTTAATGAATACGAGATGAATACCCTTTTTAAAGAAAAAAAACTGTTAAAAGGAAATTAAAACTCAAGTAAAATCTGGAAAGGCTTCTGATAAAAGTATGTTTTAAAGAGGGATTAACAAGAAAAAGAGATCTACAAAGGTCAAGGACTGAGCAAATATTACATAACACTTTCTGTCGTCTACTGTGTGTCAATAGGAAACATGGACCTTTATATTCTATACTAAAAGGTTCCTTTTCTTTTGTGTTTGACAACCACTGAGGCAAACAATGTTGTAACTGGAGACAATGAAACAACCCTTTTACGCAATCTTCACCTTTTTGGATACTTCCCATTTCCTCATTCATGAGCTAAATAGTTCTTTCAGTTTTGTCTTTAAAAATAAACCAACGCTAGTTTGGTTTATTTCATTGCAGCCATGCCTGACACTCACGCCTTGGAGCTGTCGAACAATGAAACAAAAAATTCCCTCTTTGAGGCTGGAAATGACTTGAACGTTACAGAATGCTGTTCACAAAATGCTTATGAAACTATTTTGTGAACAATTACACAAGAACCTTTAATCATGAAGAATATCTGGTTATGTATTCATACATTATACATATTCTGGAACAGTCAAAACTCTTTGAATGGGACGTAGATCTTGTCAGACTTATGGTCACATACTCAACACATGCTGTCATCACATGACACACATGGTTTCACAAGTTTTTGTGAAGTCGCTTTCTATTACCAGGAACCTCAGCCTTACAGGTCTATAATAATGATTACCTTTGGGGTTGATGTCACCTTTCAAAAGCCAGCAACAGAGAGGAACACAAATAAAGGAGAGAATTCATACTTTTTTACATCCCAATATATCAAGATCTTGTAACTTGGACATATGTGTTTGTAGTGAGAGGGTCACTTCTAACAAAAAGACCAGCCTTTATTTTTAAAATGACAACAGCCCGGTGCATTTCAGTAATTTGTAAACTTGGTTCCCCTTACATGTCACATTATTGACACACACTACGATCTCCAAAACAAACTTATGTTTAAATATTATATTGATTATCTGATCATTTACACATGCGTATCTTCAAAAATGTTGAAGTATTCTTTATGCACTTTGACAAACAAAACGACTTTACTATGGCAGTCCTTATCTACAGATGGCTCCTGGTGAAAGTTGAGGGTAAGAGAGATACGATTAGAGCCCTTTGGAGGTTTAAAATAATCATCCTAAATGACCTGAAGACATCAACAGATACAAGAAGAACAAAACACCAAAAACATTTTCTGTAAAGGAAATGGTGAGTCTGTTGACCAAGCCCATTGTTATTTTCAGGCAAGTATGCACTAGTTCCCAGCAATAATTAGCTCTGGGCACAGGAACTTAGAACACGTTTACACAGGTTTCCGATTTACGAGAAGGCCTGAAAGTTTGTTTTAAAGCCTTGAAGAGTTCCTGAAACATCTTCTTCGCATAGGAGAGATTCCCTATGTGTGTGTGTGTGTGTGTGTGTGTGTGTGTGTGTGTGTGTGTGTGTGTGTGTGTGTGTGTGTGTGTGTGTGTGTGTGTGTGTGATTGGCAAACATCTAGGTGTGTTAGTCTAATCACAATCAGCTGTATTTGATTTTGAAAAATGTATTCCAGTTAATGTTTCTGCTTTTCTTCCTCCTTCCTCCTCCTCTCATTACTGGAATCAAGTTTCAAGAAGCTTATATTTCTCAAATACAATCTGTGAGAGAATAATTTGCTTAGGTATTCAACCTTTGACACAGTTCATCATTTTCTCTTCTTACTGTCTCCTTTCCCATGGCATAGGTCTAGGGCCTTGGGTATCACTGCTATCTCTCTTAAGGAGGAGCAGCTTGGGCGCATTGTTGTTGCCAGTCTATGACAGAACACAAGCTGCCATGAGGTAGTTTACTGTTCAGGGACGCAGGTTCCCTGGCGCGCATTCTTTTCTATGGACGAGAGCTCTAGTTAGATTCAGGGTCCGTAATTGTTTAGTCTCACTGATATAGAATGTTGATTATTACACTCCGAACTAGTTAAAACCTTGAGCTACAGAAACTCGTGACCACCTGTCTTGTCAATTCTTCGGCCGTAACTCCAAAAAAACCATCAGTGCTTGCCATCAAAGCTCCAGCTCTCCTTGTGTCTCTCTGAGTCCTGTTTGTAATTGCTTCAGAAGTTTCCCCCACATAATCGAATACAGTTTAATTGCAGTTCCATTTCTACACACTTTTAAGTTTAAAGCCAAAATGTTCAAGTTTCAAGTAAAAAACTTTCAACTTTTAAATTAAAAAATAAAATAAAAGGTTGCTCCAGATTATTGTACACCACTTTAAGAATGCTCTTGCTCACCTTGGAGTTTCCTGAGTAGGTGTAACCTCTGCATATCTTTTTAAGTATGAAGTGTTGCCATCAAATAATAGAATTCCTGATTGGTTGCATTGCAGTGTCTTGATTTACACGGCAGTGCAAAGGGTGCAGTGTTTAGTTTATTTATTAATGCCATTTAAGAGAATATAAACATGGGTGTGCCTCATACAAACTAGAAGGAGTTGATGGTGTTTCTAAGTATTTAGAACCAATGTGAGGATTGCAGAGGGAGGGGAAATGATTAATGCAAGTCTTCCAGAAAGGCTTTTACATTTGTCAAAACTACTCCCTGCTTTTATTACACAAGTATGTTGGTCAGATTCCTGACTCTTCTTTTGGCTTGAACCAAATTACTATCTTGAGGTTGCAACAAACAGGAAATGTGACGCTTTACTAATGTGATATGGTTTGTAAAATTAGTAAAAAGGAAGTTATTATCTTTGTGAAAGGATAGGATTATGCTATTAACATCCTTATCTGAACAAGTTCAGCAGGTTTTGTATATTTGTTTGAATATCAGCATTTGCTTAATATCTTTGATGTATATAAGCAAATGTTGCATGGCTTTGAGAGTTTTACTAACTTTGTAGATAAACAGCTGTTTTCTTGTTTGCAAGTTATTGTGAATTCATCTTAAAACAGAAACATGACACAACGGTGTTCAAATACTATGAAAACAACATAATTACAGCTGGTGATATGAGGTCAGGAAGGGAACTTATGAAATGGTTTGTGGTATTAAAGATTGTCGAGCTGACACAGCCCACAGGGGATTTGATTAAACAAAGGGTTTGTGTTGTCATTTAATATTTAAACAGAGTTGGTTATTTATTGAGTGAATTATCCTTTAATACCACATTTACAAATTAGTATTTGTTTGCGTACAGGTTATGACATGTTTAGACTTCTGTATTCACATACATAAATATATACATTTGTGGATTTTCTTTTTAAAGAAAATAGATAAGGAAGTAAATTGATTTAAAAATATTTTAATAAAAAAGATGAAGAACAACTCTTTAACTGAGTGTGAACACTGGTTCGTGTATATGATTATTTTAGGGGGAGTTTTGAGTTTAATATCCAAATATAGGGGAACTGTATAACGTTATCGTTTCCCATGCATGTCAAAAGTAGGTCTGAAAATACTTCAGCCTACATATTTTCGGTCAGCATAAACTTGCTTTGATTAGTCACTACTTTAAAAGTTAATGACTTAATATTGTTTATTTATTTGTGTGTATTTGTGTTGTACCAATTGATGTTGTTTTCTTATTGCACGAACAGCTTCCCTCTATTTAAATTCAACATAATTACTGTAGGTTTTTCAAAGATATAATGTATCAATTTGTTTGAAAACTGTCTGTTTCCTCATCGAAGCTACACTGCTGACCTCTGGCGACAACCACGCGTCACTACACTTGAAAATGAAAGTTTTCACTCTAATATCTAAATAGATTTATTTCAAATCAATAATTGAAACTCGATCAACCAACTATGAAGCGCTTCCTTCCATTAAACTTGAATTTTGTTATCGCTGCGACTTTAAAGTTTTACACATTAACGATATTAATGGTACAACTTTCCCTTTAAGAAATCAGCGCCCAATCGCGGCGCGTAAACTGAACTGTGTTGTTGTCAGGAACTACCGGCTAATATAAAGTTGCTAAGCTAACGTTAGCCGACCGGTGGGCTAAAAACACACCATCGTTTGTTGAATTTTACCGTATTAAATAATTACCGTTCAGCCAAACTCGGTTTACGTTCATATCAGTCGCTCTCACCGGCTGTTTTTCTCCGATATCAGGAAAGATGTCTTCTGCCCCGGTAAGTTCGCGTTAGCTGAAGTTGGTTTCTTGTTTGTAGCTTCACTGTCTTTCTTTACTGCTACATGATATGGGAACTCTCAATATCATGTACTATAGCCCTGTGTGCAGGGGTGGAAGACGTACTAAGATCATGTCAGAACAAGTAGCAATATCAGAGAGTCTGTTACAAGTAAAAGTCCTGCATTCAAAGTCTTACTCAACAAAAGTAAAACAAAGTATTGACATCAAAACATACTTAAGTACCAAAAGTAAAAGTACTCATTATGCAGATTGTTACTGTTAAATAACAGTGTACGTACTGTTACTTAAGAACAGTACTTGAGTATATCCACTTAGTTACTTTACACCACTTATCAGGCCTAAGTAGGATCAACCTAAGAGTAACAAAAGTACTCATGATAAAGAATAGCTAAGAATTAAAAATGATATTAATGAATAATTAGTGATGCACTACATTACTGTGTACATCTTGTTGCAAGTGGTAAAAGTGGACTAATGAAGGCTTATCCTTATCCATACCAACAAACAAATCATATGTAATGTGTCGACTTGATTGTCATCCATCTGATGCTTGCAAATTGACTGTTAGTGCAATGTATCACATGATTGTAGTAGAGTACAATAATTGTTAAGTATTTCCCTCTGAATTGAGCAAGAGAAGAATACAAAAGTAGCAGAAAATGGAAATATTCAAGTGAAGCTCAAGTACTTTACATTTGTATTTAAATATGACTTGACAGAACATAATTAGTCACTTCCTATTACTGGAAATGTCAAGTAAAGTTGTGAGTTTTTAAGTTATAGTAGGGATCTTTATTTGATATGTCTGAAAGTAAATCAGATTACATATGGAAGTCAGTAAATTGATCATTTGAAAAACTAAAGTGCAGTGTTGTTCCTATAATGGCACCCTGTTTAATGCCTGGCTTGTATCTTTATAGCTTGCCCACAACCTAACACATCAATCTTTATGTGTTGAGTAGCATTGGGATAAAGAAAATACCCACTTGTGGAGCAGGTCTTCTTGAGAATGTCCATCAAGGTAACCCTTATTTAGACAATTCTGTTCACATATTATAATCACACAAGTGAATTAAATTGTGTAGTAGGGTGGAGGGATCTGGGTATTCTCCTCTTTTAATCCAGAAAATGTCAATATAACATTTTGAATACCTTTTTAGGGAATGTCTAGTGAATATTTGTAGGATGAAGTAGGATGTAGGATGCATGATATAACTGAATGCTGCTTTACTCTCATTCTCCATCCAATAACTACACCTGCTAATCTCAGTTGACATTGGGCTAGACGGGTCTGAAAAGGACATCACAACAAGAGAAGACCTTCGTTAATACGATAGTATATCTTTATTTACAAAAGGTTACTTAAACAGCTAAACAAGAAAGGAAATTGATACAAAAGTACAAAACGTTAGTAAAAACGTGTAAGATCTCAGCTTGCAATATATAACATCACAAGTTCTTAAAGTCATTTTTATTCCACCGTGTTAACTCTCGACGCCATATTTGTCAAAGTGTCTCATAATGATGCCGAGCTCCAGCTCCACGGTGCCCATAGCTTCGGTGTGCAGCCTGTATCTGTCCGCCCCGCTGTACACCAGGTCCGGGCTGCGGAGCTGCGGTCCTCCGCCGACGAACATTTGGGACAACTGCTCTTGCCAGGAGCCAAGCGGCCTCCAGGTCGCACAGCTTATCCGGTGATGTCCGGGGCTGGACGGGACGTGGCAGTACCCGTAACCGTACAACTGGCAGCGTCCGAAAGAGTCCTGGTGCCAAACCTGGAGGTGAAGCTTCGGCCAGCCTTGGAGTCCTTTAGTCGCGTAGTGCACATCGATAGGGTGACTCCAGTACGCCATGTCTCCTGTTTGGGGAATATCCACCTGGGTCTGACCCTCCTTCAGCCCCGAGAGAAGACGCCATGCTCCTCCCGTGTGAACTCCCCATTTACAAAATAAGCTGTTCTGTGGGAAACCACTGGCTCCTACGATTTGGCCTATGATGTGCAGCTCTGCCATGTTACAAAGGACCCCGTACACAAAAACATGAGGCCCCCTGAGTCCTCCACAGCCTCCTCTTGAGTTTAACGGATAGCTTACCGGATAGCAACGACTAGCACCACAGCCCCCGTCTCCTTGGTTACTCAGCCTGCTAGAAGGGAAGTTTATTTTACCCAGAGTGAGGTTTCTCAGGCAGCACTTCTTGTCAGACTGCAGACAGATCCAGTATTTTTAAATCGCATTTAGAGACCTAAAGTCCACGAATAGCTCAAGTAGGGCGCGTTTTTCAAACACCATACCAGAAAATAGCTTAAATCATTGGTGGAGATTATTTGCGATTGTACACATTTGAAAACTGCTGCCTGACAGTTTGCGCGGCGAGCAGCAAGATGTGGCTTTTACGCTGCGTTGAAGCTTTTCCTTTTTCTCGTTGTTTAAATTAAGATACTATTTGTGAATTGAAACAATACATCTAAATCTTTCATATTAATCCGTCATAAACAATCAGCGAAAAACAACCATTGACGGCTAAATTCAACACACTCCAGGGCCATATATACAGTCTATGTCCAGGGCCCAGGCATTAAACTGGGTTTAGAGACTACAACAAAGATAAACAGCACCGTCCAGCGGTTGTAGTAAATATTGCAGAAAATGCACTGGTTTAAAAAAAAAGTTCAAAAAAGTGTTTTGACATTTTAATTACTGTAAAACTGTAAACCTCTCTACATTTGATTTCTTTCCTTCTTTGTAGTTAAACTGCTGTACCACAATTTCCCAGAATTAAAAAAAGTGTCTTAATGTAGTATGTATTCATGCTTTTATTATCATTATTTGATTGTGCTTTTATAAGATACATTGACATTTAATATTACTGTATAAACAACAGGTGTTACTAATACCATCCTGTATCCCAGTAAGTGTGACACTAAACCCGGATGCACAACACCAGAAGCCTGCATCTGAAGTTAATAGTATTCAGCCATCCCTCAATGTAATACAGCTACTCCTTTAAAAATGTCTTAAGTTGAAAATGCCTGTGTGTGTGTGAACAGACACTTTGCTCTGTGCCCTTTGCTACATAATGTATGTAGCTGTATCTTCATTTTGTTGGTTTTATCTAAAGTTTGAAGTATCATTACAACCGTCAGTGGCTCAGTCATTAGGGCTTGGACTGTGAGCCGTAGGGTCCCCGGTTCAAGTCCCCGACCAGACCTAAATATGGAGTGTGGACTGCTACTTGGAGAGGTCCCAGTTCACCTCCTGGGCCCTGCTGGTGCCCTTGAGCAAGGCACCGGACACCCCCCTTCCCCCCTCACTCCCATTGCTCCCCGGGCGCTGTACAATAGCTGCTCGTGCTGTGTGCTGTGTGCTCTGCATGTGTGACCATTAAAGAGGGTTTCATTCCACCGATTCTATCCAACCATAAAAAAGCGTAGACTTAGCTGTACGCCTATCTCTTGCTCTATGATTATGTGATTTTTTCCCCCACTACTGTTTAATGTTATTAAGAATACTTTGAAACAAGTCCACAGCATCTTTAATATGTAGCTGCTTAAATCTGTCTCTCTGTTCCCCATTTAGTCTGACCCAACTCTGGAGAGACATTACAAGGGTCACAGGGACAATGTTACAAGTGTGGACTTCAGCTGCAACATGAAACAAATCGGTAACTGCTCCTTAATAGTACTGTATGTGTTTATGTGTGTTTATCAGTCTGTGGTTAGAGAATATGCTGCCCGTTTGCTGGTTCCTTTCTCTCTTGTTTTCATTGCGTGATATGTTTCCTGCCTCGTCATCCAGATGTGTTGTTCAGTTTACACACCTGTTCTCCCTCTTCCAGCCACAGGCTCTATGGACTCAAGTGTGATGATCTGGAACATGAAACCTCAGATGAGGGCGTATCGTTTTGATGGACACAAAGATGCTGTCACTTCAGTTCAGTTTTCTCCCTCTGGCCACCTGGTGGCATCTGCCTCCAGAGATAAGACTGTACGTCTTTGGGTGCCCAGCCTGTGAGTTTGAAGTATTCCACCTTTTCTATTAAAGTACATTTCCATCAACTCATTATTTTGTATAGTGTTAGCGATCTACCACAAAGAACAATGATGCTGATTCATAAGAAAAACAAAACGACACAGTTTTACTAAATCTCCTAATCCTGCCAACACACAGAAGAAGTCACACATTTCAGAACACTGACTTGTTTTTAACAGTTTTTTTTTTTAACTTAGAGTTGTCTTGGTGTTTGTGTTTGTGCACAGGAAGGCTGAGTCAACAGCTTTCAAGGCGCACACTGCCACCGTGCGCAGTATAAACTTTTCTGCTGACGGGCAGAATCTGGTCACAGCCTCCGACGACAAGACCATCAAAGTGTGGACTGTCCATAGACAAAAGTTTCTCTTCTCTCTCAACCAGCACATCAACTGGGTCCGCTGTGCCAAGTACGACGAACACACACATAAACACACATTTTGACTTCTTTCGTTCTAAAAAATCATTTTCAATACATTTCTGCAGGTTTTCTCCAGACGATCGTTTGATTGTATCGTCCAGTGATGATAAGACTATAAAGCTGTGGGACAAGAACAGTAGAGAGTGCATTCATTCTTTCTATGAACATGCTGGGTAAGCAATTGAGACCATAAAAGATATATGAGAAATAAATGTTCTGATGTGTTCGAAAGAAATAATTGTCACATTTTGAAATGTTTAGGTTGATTAAAATTTTTAAGCAAAAAAGGTGACACATCCCATTACCATTTGTTCTCTCAATTCTTTGCACCAAGGCACTGAACACCTACTCATTCATTTAAAATGTTTAAAGGATCAGCTGAAAGCCTCTATTGCATAGTGTGTTTACATTGTTTAAACCATTTACAAAGAGCAGAACATCTTCTCTGGTGGGTGTTTCAAAAACCTTATTAATTGAATTAACCTGTTGGATTAATACATTTTGAAGTACTGTCAATTCTTGGCCAAAGACATCATTTTCTTAAATGTCCTGTTTTTTCTTTCTCCCTAGTTATGCAAATCACGTGGACTTCCATCCCAGTGGAACGTGTATAGCTGCAGCCTGTACTGACAACTCTGTCAAAGTCTGGGACATCAGATCCCATAAGATGCTCCAGCACTACCAAGGTAAAGGCATCTCAACATATATATGAAGGAAGAGTTACATTTTATAATAACGTAATTACCAGATCACGTTAAAATTGCTACGGTAAACCACAATTTGTTTTCAATCACATATTTGTAGTTTAATGCCAAGCTAACAAAGACAGTAATTGATGTAAGCATTTAATATATTTTTGGGTCAAGACACTCAATAAAGCATATGTTGATGCTTGATAGGTATTGAAGTAATTGTTTCGTATTTAAACACAGGCATTTGTTTAGGATTTGACGACATTTTGAATCAGTAGCACAGTAAATCCACAGCCCAGTGTTGAGAGAAATATGTCTTATATGGCAAACAGTAAACGTCTTGCCGTCCAGTCCCTCCCAGACTCAATAAAGCAAAAATAAGGCCTCACTTTTAAACACAGTGAAAATCACAGCAAACTACTGAAATAACACCAAGTAAAAATGAAGATTTAAAGCTCACGACTAAAGTGGTAATCAAGAATCCTTGCATATTCAATAAGCCGAATGTTGATGCCTCTTTGTCAGTCTGCCTTTCAGTGTGATTGTTCTCATCGGCTCTCTTAAATGGATTTGAGTTGTGAGATCTAATAATGGATAATCACATCTGTGTCTGAAGAGCTGGGGCATGAAGATAAAAGCTTTCCCTCTCCTCTCATTCCTCCTCCTTTCCACAGTGCTTCACTTTACATGCTATAGTAAATCACCAATTCCACCAGCCTAGAGTGTAACATTGTGGCTAAAATGTGGTGTTGTTACTGTTATACCCATGGGAATGATTCGTAATTGGTAATATGTTTAGTTTTCCTTTCTCCATCTATTGTTTGTCCTTGCTTTTGAATGGCTTTCATTTTATGTTGGTGTATACTTTGCTCTTTATCCCTTCATGAATCTTAGCCATACCCAAAGAAATCACCCTCCTGCTCTCAGTATAGTTTGGTGCAGCTTTTCATCCTGTTGCAGCGAGACGAGAGGCGTCAGTTTAGCTTATGTCATAGCATCTTGTAGCCAGCAGAGGGACCACGTTGCCAGTCAAATGTCTTTTCTCATTCAAGAACCCGGTTACCAGAAGGTGGATTGATTTCAGGTCTAGGGAAGTTTTGATCAGTTGCTTCAGGCTTCTATACTTGACAAATATGCTAATGCAGACCTGATGTTAAGCCATTCTCAAGTAACACAGCAACTGAGGCGTTATGATATACAGCACCAGTGCACTTCAATTGGATCCAGCCAACAATGTTAGCAAACATCTGGCCAGCTGAAGTGTCGTTGAGCAAGAAACTGAACTCTAGAAATGCCCCTTAGGTGTTGTCAAATCACAGAAATGTTCCTCTGAGGTGCAGTTTTAGAGAGAAAAGGGAAAGAAACATACCTTTTTATAGTATGGATGGACAAGTCATTGTTACTGTCATCATGATTTAATCATACATTCAATACTCCATTATTTTACAGGCATAACATTAAAAGCCACACAATACAGTAAAGCCAAATGAACAAGAATGGGATGGAATTTCTTGTCTTTAATTGTAGAAGGTTCCACTTCAGTTTGAATTACAGTAACAACATGTGTGTCCTCATTGAGTTTGTATGTGTTTTCCAGTTCATAGCGGTGTGGTGAACAGTTTGTCTTTCCATCCGGCTGGTAATTTCCTCATCACTGCATCCAATGACTCCACAATGAAGATACTGGACCTTGTAGAGGGCAAGCTACTGTACACACTGCACGGACACCAGGTAGACACACACACACGAACACACACACCGTTTAGATTTCCTACAGGCCTTCCAGTCAGGATCATGATGGGTTATTTCCGTCTGCTGTTGGCGTGTGCATGTTTGTGTGTATGTTTGACATCTCTTTTGTCAGTTTTTGATTATGACATGCGTGTGAGTGTGAGTGTATTATGGCTTTTTGGTACATGGTATATTTTAGTACTTGCCAGGCGAGCGGACGGCCCACTCATGATGACTCATCTCAGAGTTGTTGGAAGGAAACAGAAGTGTGTTTCTGCCTCCGTTCTGCTGGATCCTTTCCTCCTCATCCTCCTTCCTTTTTAACTGACTCAAACGTACAATGTGTAAATTCCTGCCACTAGCATTCTATCAAAACAATAACAAAATACAGTTTGATGGTGTCTTGAAGTTGCGTGGGATCATGGGAGATGTTGTCATCGCCGCCATTGCAGTCAAATTCTTCTGGTTATGATGATTCATTGTTCATCGTTCATGAGGGTTTTACTAAGAGCCTAATTATCAGCAGAGGTCTCATCCTCTTCAAAAGAAAGGCACCCAAACAATAAAACTGATACAAAAACACTGGTTAAAAATTCTTCTTTCTCTGACGTGTCTTGGCTGCCCAGAATGTTTGCTCATCTTGTTTCTCGGAAGAATATGAGTCCTATGACTATATTCCTTAATCTGGTTCAAATATGCAGTTAGAAACGTCCAAGATCTAAAAAGTATACCAAAACATGTGGCTTGAAATGAATAAACGTTCAATTTATGACAGCTCCAAAACACTGAAGCATGCCACGCCATTTAAGCTGAATAAATGAAACCAACCGTTAATCAAAAGTAACTTTACATGTGAAAATAGTTGGAAGCATTTAGGACAATGTAATTAGACAACTCAACAGAATATATAACATTTAGTCGATTTCAAGACCTTTTTAATTTGGAAAGCACCGTCACCATCGTTATCATCCTAAAGTACTCCTTGTACTTCTCTATTAACGCCAGTCTCTTCTGTACTCCCATGTTGACAGTCTGGACCAGTCGCTCACTGACTGTGTCTATTTGTTTGAACAGCTGATGGACTGACTTTCTGGCTAGTTGTGGGAATCGGTGGCTTGCCAGTGCCACATGTGGTCCATCTGTTTACCCATCCCTCTATACACTTTGCATGCCTCTCCTTTCTTTGTCTTGTCTGTGTCACCCACTGCTTGCCAAGACTCTTTCGTCAAGATAAAAAAAAACACCCTTTCCCCTCCTCGCCTCACACCTCCAAATTTGTCTTCTCCTAATCTCTTTCTTCGTTTCTGTTGTTGTTCTTTTTGGCTCAGTGGTGACGTCGCCAATCTGTTGGTGCTGGGAGCGCTCAGGGTGTTAATTGTCTCTCCAGTCGCTTAGCTCGAAAATGGGAGACCCCCCCATCTGTTCAGTGTGGGTGTGTAGGTTTACGTGTGTTTATGTGTCGGCTTGTTGATGTATGTGTGTACAGCTATGTGCATGTGCTGTATATGGAAACACATGAAGGCACTGAGGGAGTATGTTTCCTGTTGGATCTGACAAATGTGTTGTTTTCTTCGCCTCAGGGGCTACCTGTGTACCTGGCAGGACAGAATCAGCCTGATTTAGCTTCATTTGTCTTTCTGTTCTGAGCATATTTGGAGGAGCAGCTGGACACTGAAACAAGAAGAGATGATCTACCAACCCTGAGTGAGCCTGGCCCGAAGTAGTTGCTACCGTCAGGGCTAACCCCTTACACTTATATCAGCAGGTAGAAAGCAAGACATAGACATTTATCTTGAGGCAATGTGTGTCTACAGTTTAGTCTGTCAAATAAACTGTACACGCACATTGCACTGCCACGTTTACAGCTATAACGCTACTGCTAACTTTATACTCACAGCTAATGTTAAGCACACAAACTGCCCACTCTTTAGTGAGAGTTATTCTTTAAGTAAGTTCTCTACTTATATAATGCGGGTTGAATTGAAAAACATCTTAAGACATTTGTTTTCCCCCAATTCTTAGGACTGGCTTATTTGGTCAAAAACCTGAGAACTAGCTTGCAATACACCCCTGTAGATGTATAGTGATATACTTAGCCTATTTTCTCTCCAATGTCCTAATGTGTGACTTTAGCGTGTTAGATAATACTCAATCTGATACTAATGCTTCTGGTCCTTTTTCAATGGAATGCCTGTCCTTTTCTTTACTTAATCATACCTGGAGACATTCATACTCAAGTCGACTTTTTAATGATTTAAACGCATTTAAAGGTCCCATTTCATGCTTTTCCGGTTATTACCCGTCCCCTTGTGTGTTATGAATGTTTTTATGCATGTAAACGGTCTGCAGAGTCAAAACCCTCAAAGTACACCCTGTAGCGAGTAAAACTCTAACACAGAAAATACCTCCCCAAAACGCCTCGCTGGAGATACGTCACTGTCCATTGATTCTTCCGGGTAACTCATGATGTCATGCGTTACCCGGAACCAAATGGACCAATCCGTGTAGCCGTTACGTTACGTCCGCGGAGCCGTTACGTTAAACCCCGCTGATTGGTCCAAATTGACCAATCCACGGACTTCCTCACACACACACTCAGTGCATGCAGCTCTGGTGATCTCTCCTCCCTGGCTGCAGGCTGATAAAAGACAGTTGGGATCGCGGCGAAATTCTCTCTGCAGACCCATTCTCACAGCGTTTATCAACCTTTTTCTTACTCAATATCAAGCCACACTTATTGTTTTTACTTCGGCTGTGACTTTGTCCGTGCTCAGGGTGAGTTTAGCTGTGTTTCGCTGTCGCTCAACAAGGAAACCATACCTCCACGGAGCTCAGCGCGATTCACAACGTCCCAACCAATCAGAGCACACTGTGCTCACAGGGAGGGCGGGGGCTGGAGCTACAACGAGCCGTTAAAGGCAGAGAGGGAAATTCAGTGAATACACGTAGTTTACAGAGATGCTGTATGAGAAACCAAAGTGATTTAGGAAAATTGCACAATATAAATGTATTCTAGTAGACCTCAACAATGGAATTATGATCAGTGGAAAGGGCCATGAAATGGTACGTTTTTAAAAGACCTCCGCATCATGTTTTATTACGACGCAGACTGAGAAACAGATTCACACTTATTTATATTTTAAAGAAATGACAGCGACAAAAGTCAACCAGTGCAAGATTATCATTGTTGTTGTCAGTCATGAAATTATGGAGAGCAGCATGTGGAGGCCAGTCAGGTTCACGGCCTGTGTGTGTGTGTGTGTGCGTGTCTGTCTGGCCATGGCAAGCGCCAGCCTGGCAGCAGGCGTTAGTCAGAGTCGAGACAGAACATGTTGTCTGTCAGGCCGTCGTGTTGCCATAGTGACACTGTCTGCTTCTCTCAGGTGCTTCTGGGAAACCATTCCTCACCCAAACCAGCCTGTCTGGATGCCAGCCGCAGGACACACAGCTCCTCTTTGCTGGCCAGCAGCATTTTCCTTTCTCTACTTTGTTCTCTCCTTTTTCTCTCTTTGATCACAGTCAGAGGGCTCAGACTTTTATCGTTGACCCCGTTCTGCATTGTGAGATGGAAAAAATAAAAAAGGAGTGGGATCTTTGAGTTTTTCAAGCTGTATTCTGTCGGCGCTCCAGGCACACACACACACACACGCTCACACACACAGCATGCAACAGTTCTTCTGACACTTGCAGGTGTTCCTTTTTGGCTCTGACCAGGTGTGACCTCACCTCACCTGAGTCTTAGCTTTCTGTTATTGATTGCTCTGCCCCACACGCCCACTCCCTCCTACACACATAAACACACACACACATGGCAGTAGCTTTTGTTGTCGGCATAAGTTTCCTAAATGCTATGAGCTGCATACACAAAAACACCTGTTTCTCTCCAGTTCTCTTCTCTTTATCGTACATTTTATAATAACTTCTAACCTAACTGTATTTCGAAGTCTCCATCTGGCTTGTGGCATTACGTTGTTCATGTTGTCTGGTCTGTCCGTACCCTTTCTGTGAAAGCCCTAACTCAGGATGCCTGAAAGGAATGACTCCCAATCTGGCACAATCTGTACTTGCACTCAAGGATGAACTGAATAGATTTTGGAGGTCAGAAGACACGTTGACCTCACGAAAAATATTTTTGGCCATTTCTCAAAAATGTATACGCTAATTAAGAGAATTTTACACAAATATCTAAAAGGATAAAATTATATATTAATGAAATGTGTTAGACAGACATGTATGTAAACTGCAGAAATACAATCATAAGGTTCAAAGGTAATGTATGTAGGGTTCACACAGACAGACTACACTACTTTCACAGGAATTGTTTCATTTTTAAAAGGCTGCAACTAACTATTATTTTAATTATTGATTTATTTAAATGTGCCTGCCTAGTGTTTATAAGTATTCTTATTTATAAGTGATTACAAATTGTTTTTCCAAAGCTCAAGGTAACATTATTAAATGTATTTCCGGACCAACAGTACAAAACCCACAGACAGTATTATTTAAATCATAATATTTGTCTGTTTCTCTTTCCCCTCCATCAGGGTCCAGTGACCTGTGTGGCCTTCTCCAGGACAGGAGAGTATTTCTCCTCTGGAGGTTCTGATGAGCAGGTGATGACCTTTTCTTGATGATCCTTCAAAATCAACCAGTTTTTTTTTAATAAATGGCCTTATTATTTGCTGTCCTTATACAACTGATAGAAGCTTACCAAAAGGTTTATTGCCAATTTAGAAAACAGAATGAATGAAAATGAGTTTAGGGGTGGCAGATGTTTTAAAATGCTGTATGAGATGCTATCCATAGTCGGTGTATTACCTACAGCAGAAAGCGGTCGGCAAGCCACTAAGCAACGTACTGCTGTGCTGAGGCAGCAGCTAAATGTAGCCACCTACAGAAAAGATCAATATGGCTTTAAGTGAAGGCTTTTTTAGAATATTTTCTCTACTTTACGTTGCTGTAAGACAGTCCTTTCAGATGAGGTAATGAAGCCCTTATTAACGAAGCATCCTGGTTCCATTGACCAAAATTAATCATACAGAGCACAGGAATTGATGGTCTGATGGGGTCCAAACTACGGCCCGGGGGCCATTTTGAATCAGACCTCAGCTAATTCAAAAAGTATAATGGAGTATGGCCCAAAAATGAAACTTGTGCTTGTCTTGTATTGTACTTCTTAAATGTATATGAAAACAGATGTTTCACACTGTGTGAATGTGTTAAGAAGCCCACTCTTCAAACTAATTCAGTCAAATTTGATAGAAAATGTTTTCAACTTTAATTAAGTTGATAAGAAAAAAGCCCAATAACTTATTTTCATAACAAGCTTGAAATAAACCCTTCCTATTTCCTCTTATGATAAGCAATCTGAGGCTCCTGTTTTAAGGAATGAGCTGCCTACAAAATAAAGTAAACCCTCTGGAGAGCTGTGATGTATGGCTGTTGTTTTTCTTAAAGCATATTCAAGTATTAAGCATCATTTACCTACATGTGATTGACTTTGCTGACTTATAACTTAACTTATGAGGCAGTATACCTCACCTCTAGTGAGTGGCTCAGCCCTTTGTATGTTTTTCTGTATGTGGCCCTCGTGGGGAAAAGTTTGGACACCCCTGGTCTACTCGATCGGTTAGAAAATATTCTACATTTAGTGTACACTCAAACTGTTTGCTTTGCAGCTGCCCTGATCCACAGCAGTACATTGCTTGGCCATACATTCTGTTAGCTTAGCCAACTAAATATAGATAATACACTGACTTTGACTATGCACCTCATTCAACCTCACTTCAAAACTTCTGAACTCTACCTTTTACTTTGACAAAGAGAAAGCAGATCTGTATTTATGTCCTGCATTTCATTATTTTTAAATTAGATTATTGGTTTGTTGACTTTGAATGATTTGAATACATCTTACAGGTAATGGTGTGGAAGAGTAACTTTGACTGCGCTGAAGGCATCGATGACTTCAGGCTGCAACATAAAGCTGCTCCCAGCCTACAGGCAGTAGGCAGCTCCACGGCTCAGCCCCCCCTCACCCCCTCTGAGCACCGCAGCCAGGTGAGATCAGTATGCATGGACTCATTTTTGGCCTTATAAGACATTTCGCTCGACACAATTATAAAAAAAACAATCCTAATACATATAATGAAGGTGTAGACTGAAAACAATAACTTTAATCATTCAGTTTATCTTATACACTCATAAGTGAAGGTAACCTAATTATTGCACATACATTAACATGCATGTGTGGTGCCTGGTTGAAAGATAAACATAACACGCGCAGAAATACCCCCTCAATATTTTATGCTGCCAGTGTGGCGGGCTTATTTCCTCGCTGCATATCTTTGCTTTGAAGTCTGCAGTGTGGCCCGAAGCTACATTCATCTCTCGCATGCAGGGCAAGAAATACCCACTTATTTCCACATCTACATTTTGATATTGAGGACGTTTTTTCTGTCTTTCTGACCGCTGGAATTAATGAAATATTAGTCTGATGATTAATCTGATTACTACAGATGAGTTTTGAAATGACGATTAGAAATGATCAACGTTTAAAACGGCAGTTCAAACACTGTGAATACTGCAGTTTTTGTTAATAAGTCAGTGCTGACATGAGGCATCGACAAACTAAAAGGAAAGTTTGCAAAGAGACTAATTCCATAAGGTGCATGTTATGCTATGTTACTCCTCACTTAGCTTGTGGTTATATGTGTTTTTCTAAGTCTATACAATCTCATTTGAGCGTTTTAATTTTATATATTCACATCTTACTAATATATTATATGCTATAGCAGTACACGGCACTAACCTGATTCATACTTTTTTATTTAATTTAACAACCGACAAACTTGGACAGTATTATGAGTCAATAAATGCCAAAGTCGGTTATACTATAAAAGTGTTCAGACGGAAGCCTCCCAGACACTGAAGCTTGTGTTGTGGCAGCATCGCCTCCATTTTCACGACAGTAACATCAGCAGGAGTCTCTAATCCCACCACACCCTTTCTGACTGCTGTGTGAATCTGTCCAAAAAGAAATTGTGGTTGATAGTTATCGGAACACAAAGCTGGTGTATTATCAATAAACACAAACAGTGCAAGCAGATAAATAAACCTGCACTTTCTGTCCTGCTGTTGCTAAAACTAACCATTTAAGTATTAAGTTGAAGTACCTTGCAGTGAATCACTAAAGAGACAGTGTTGATAAAGGTATACTCATCTCTCTTATCACCTAAAAACTGATTATTGTTATTTATTTAATTTATGTTTTCATTCTGATCTTTAAGGAGGTACTTATACAATCTACATTTAAAAAAACAGAGGCGTTTGGTTTTATGAACGCGTCATCCGAGCATAGTTGTTGATGCAGCAACACAAGAAATATGCACAGGTCCATTAGGAAATGATCCTGAATCTGTGCGCTACATGGGTTAAAAGCATGGCTGCAACCAACCAATATTTTCATTATTGCTAGAAAAGGTCAGCACAAAGTCAGAAAAAGTTTATTATTATGAGCCCAATAGTCCATACACCCCAAAATAACGTTTGAAGCAAAAAATATTTGACCTAAAAATAACAAAAGGTGAGAGGAGTTTGGCTATTAGCATTGTTTACATTTTCAAATACCTTGTCAGATGTCTCACACACACACACACACACACACACACACACACACACACACACACACACACACACACACAGGGTGTCACCGGCTGGCTTGTCAACCTCAGGGTAAGGTTTGGATTTCAACCCCTTTGACTGCTACTGTGTTACTTACATCAACAAGGACACAGCCAAGGTCTCTCTGTCTCTCTCGCTGTCTCGAAATTTAGGTTCAGCCACTGTGAATGCTGCCTTGCTTTTATTCTTTTAATATTATTTACAAATCTAGGATAGCGTAAGACTCATAATTAGGCATGTATGTAACCGGTGAAGAAAAAAAGTCCTGTTGTGATATTCAACCAGTTCTACTAAAACGTATGACCCATTAGTAACTCTTCATTGCTGATTGATTTGATTGGCTTTCTGGGGCAAGTGTGTCAAAGACAAGGGATGCAACTCTGCACCTTGTGCCAAAGAGTGTCGAGATTATTATTATTATTATTATTAAGTGTTATATATTATTATAGATAAAACATTTTTGCATGCCAGTGACGCCTTAAGAGTACCAGCCTATGACTAAGAGCGTTCGCCCATCAAATGTACAACTCTGTGAAGCAGTGCGGCCCCTCGCTTACAACAATGCCCCCGAGAACACGTACCATTAGCGTGGTTATTTCTAACATCTCCTTAACATTGACTTGAGCAGTGTAAGTGCATAGCTTTTAATGTCCTTTAAACACCTCTCTTCTCTATGCCATCCATGGACCCTTTGGGGCTTTTTTCATCTTCTCTCTCTGTCTGATTGTGCCGTTCTCTCTCGTTGCTGTGATACAGGACTGTAAATTGATTTTAATAGCTCTTCCACTCGACAGCTGTTATTACAAACGTGCCTCACAGGAGGACTAGAAAATGGGTAGTTGGATCATCGGGAGAGAGATGATACATGCAATTCTTGAAATACATTTTTACTGTTTTTGTAAAATCCTACTGAACCCTTTATTTGGGAAATGTGTTTTTTTACCAAATACAGTTCAAGCACAGCTTTTAAAGCCTTAGCACTTTTTAGGATGGTGCAAAATGCTTCACCTGTTTATCTTGGCTCTATTCATCTTAAAACACATGAATTGATGAGACATTCTTAACATCATTTCATTAAGGCATAATTTTGCCAAATTGCATTTGCAATAACTATAGTTTATCATTTATGCCTAATAGAGATGCAGTAATTGTGTTGTTGTTTATTGTGTTTTTGTTGTTATTATTCCCCATGTGTGCCAGACATCTTCAATATAAACATTTGGGAAGTGTTTAAACTCATTCAGCATTTCATTACACGATACAGTAAATCATCATATATATCATACACATTTATGAAATAACCTTTAATGTGACCTCTGAATTGAAAGATATTCTTTTAAAAAGTAACAGCTTCGAAAGCCCTTTTTAGTCAGCTGAACAACTTCCTACACAATAAGAAGAACATAAAACTAAAAGCATATGTGAATGTAAAATTGAATCGAAGCATAGAGAAATCTTTCACCTTGGTTTTTCATAGAGAATAAAATGCACATGTTGACCTTTCTTTGAGACGCAAAGTGCATTCACACAATTTCAATGGTTGAGTAAATGAATGACGCATAGATATGAATGCACAGTGTAAAAAAAATGATATCTTAACCGGAGTTATTTCCTGGCCAAGGCATTTCTTTCATCCTCTTTATGAGTTGTGATCTGCCAGTTGTTAAAGTAAAAGTAGTAGCTGCACCTGGAAGTACCAGCTTCCTAGATTCTCCTTTTCATGTATAATTTATCCATTTGTAATTTATTATTTATACAGGCCCTTTCATTTCTCATAAAATGCCACAAGTCTCAGACACGTGTTGCCTGAGAGGAAGCAGAGAGGGCAACATGTCCCCGGCTCGCCTTAATGTGTTTGTTTCCTTCTCTGTTAATACGAGTATTCAAAGGCTTAGGGAGTTTAAAATAAGAGTATAAAACAGAGAGAGGTACTCTATATGAGAGAAGTGCATCTAATGCACTGTTGAGCATTGACTTATTTTAAAGAGCCTGTGACACGATTTCCCCCCATCATCCAAACCCATCAATTTGAGTAAATATTGTCCCCTTGAAAACCATTACTGAACTGATTTTGGATATTTGTACTTTGATAACCATTAATCTGCCCTTCAATGTTGACCATTTGCTGGATCTTCTCGGGGATTCTTCAAGTCCCGCCAAATTATGGGTGACGTCAATGCGGGCACAGCGCTCCAGCTGCACCGTTCAGGATCCCAGCATCTGCATGTAAACGCACGATGGCGCACACAGCAGCAAGCTCAGACAGCGATGACAGTTTAATTTTGAACGTGTCTGAGAGCTGAGCTGAAGGATTGGTTTATTTGGTATCTGTTAGAAGTTTAGGAATTAGGTGCGTCAATATGGGCGATCATACGGTCATGTAGCCAGTGGTGGGCTGGGACTAAAAATCAGCCCGGGACTCTCGACCGGCCCACTTCGGTACCACTAGTAAATTGTCAACGGGGGTAATGGGGGATGTGCTAATGACTTATCCGACCGGCCCACTTCGGTACCGGCCCATCGGGATTCGTCCCGATGGCCAGTCCGCCACTGCACCCAGCCCAGCCCACGTAAACTGTCAACGGGGGGAGCCTCGCTGCGGGGAAACGGTGGACCTAGTGTCCCGATCGGAGTGGGAATAATAATAATAATAATAATAATAATAATACGTGCATTTTATCCATTAATTTCCCCAACATTGTGGTAAAAAAAAACACACGTTTAATCCATGTTGGTGTACTACTACAACCAGTGGTGTAGTGGGTATGTTTTTACTGGGTGGACGGGGTGGTGGGTGGACGGGAGACACTATGGACGCGCTCGTGAACTGTCAACGGGGGGGGGGGCGTTGGGGACCTCTGTGTCGCCTGTCAGCGCAACTTACATGATGCCGTTTAGACAATATAATAATAAAGGGCGGTGCCGGCTGTCAGCGAACCGATCCGGCCTTCTGCGCGACTATCACTCAAATGCGGGACATAGTCTCAATGTGTGGGACGCGGGACAAATAATAAAAAGAGTGATAGTCGCGCAGAAGGCCGGATCGGTTCGCTGACAGCCGGCACCGNTGTGTGTGTGTGTGTGTGTGTGTGTGTGCGACGTACGCGTGTGTGTGTGTGTGTGTGTGTGTGTGTGTGTGTGTGTGTGTGTGTGTGTGTGTGTGTGTGTGCAGCTCGTCTGTCTGCACACGTGAGTGGGAGAAAGACCTAGATGTGAAGCTAGAGACAGAAAAGGGGGTGGGATGGGGGGATTAGGGCAGATGTGATCAGAGAGAGCTGATCTGCCTGTCAGCAATGGTTGGCACTCACGCACAAGCACACACACACGCACACACACACACACACACACACACACACACACACACACACACACACACA